TCTTCACATCCCGATAGCAATCATTAAGTTAAGTGGTCTAAATGTATTTATATGTATTTATATATCCTGGTGTAGGACCAAGAAATGTTCGTCCACCCTGTTCGCGCAGACACGATACGTCATCAGCACGTTCACGCACGCTGTGCAGACAAAGCAAGAATGGCATCAACATCAAACAAACAACCACCAATGTGCAGCATCTACCTGGATGATGCGACGGCAGTCATATAACGCCCGAATGCCCACCACACACCAGCTTATTGGTGGAGAGGAGACAGAGTGATGAAGCCAATCAGTATATGGGGATGATTAGGAGTCCATGATGATGGACAGAGGCCAATAGGCGAATTTGGCCAGGATGCCGGGGTTACACCCCTACTCTTTTACGATGGACATCCTGGGATTTTTAATGACCTTGGTATAATGTCTCATCTAGTGTCCCCATCAATATACTGGGGCATTAGGACCCACACAGACCACAGGATGAGCACCCTGTGCTGGTCTCACATATATATATATATATATATATATAATGTGTGTGTGTGTGACGAGTGGGGCGGGGCCGAGAACCGTGGGAATGGAGCGAGGCTGATGGAGTAAATGATAATGAGCAACACCTGCACCATTCACCGGTCTCCAGTCCCATGGAGGAGCTCCGGAAGGATTAAAGTAGGAGCGCGACACTGAAAGACGAGAGAGGACCAGGCCTGGACTATTTATGTTGTTGTTTTATTATGTTTTATGCGGCAGTCGTCCGTGAGGGGCTGCCGCTTTTACTTTCGTTTTGTGTTTGTTTATTTGATTAAAGTTTTATGTTTAAATGTTCACCGGTTCCCGCCTCCTTCTTCCCTGAGCTACGAACTTTGTTACAATATGTATTACTAGAGTCTTAAATTTAATATTTAATTCAACGTGTTGCTTGACATTTCTTTTTAATTATTTTTGAAATTTACAATTTCTGAGTGAAAACTGTTTTACTACACTTATTTTTTTTCAGCATATGGAAACATGCACCTCAGACAACTCATTTTGCATTGGAAAATAAATGAATAAATTCATACAGGTTTGGAAAAACATGAATGTGGGTAAGTGACTGACAGACATTTGGCTGAACTACTTGCCCTTATTTGGCTGAACTACTTATTATTTAACTACTTAAATAATTTTGAGACTAAAATTTTCCTTTGCCACAGTTATTACTGTATCACACAGCATGGTTCAGTTCCCTTTTCTTAGCAATGGCTCCATCAAATAAATATGAACCATGTATGTAACACATCCTCATTGTGCTTTTATTTTAAGCACTGAAAAGTAATGTTAAGGAAATCAAATTCACAACATGAATCACTCAACCCTCTGGACACAGATGATTTTGCCTCATTATGACTATATTAACCCAATCAACGTGACATTATTGTGTAATACTTTCACAGACTTAACCTGTATGTCATTAAAAAGTCATGGCAAACACATTCACGAGAATGTAGTGAGCAGCCGCTCCTATAACAGAGAATCTGCATATCAAAGGTGCTTCTATCTCTGCCCTTCCAGTAGGAACACATCAAACAGGAATGACAAATAAATAAAGAACACTTCAACTTGAAACCACTTGAAAAGGAAGCAGCCTCTCAAAACAAACTGCAGCGAGCTATCGTTGTGCTGTTTCTCAGTGTGGGAGTGGAGGGAAGGGTATGAATACCACTAGCTATAAATAATAGCTGATTGGTTTCCTTGTAGACATTTCTCAAAGGAATACACAATATATATATTCAAAAGGCAGCTATTTTAAGAAAGTAGCATTGCATCCCTAGATAAACAATACCTTCACAGCTGCAGAATATATGTGGGATGGCCACCAACCTTCCTGCTGAATTTAATTCACTGCTGCTTTGACCAACACAATGAACTTAATCCAGAGAATGGTTCTGCTGTCAGCAGTTAAGACAGTTGTTCTGTCATTTTAATAAGATTAGTCACTGTGGAAAATGGGATAGGTAATTAGGAATGATGGAATGAGACCTTGTTAATATTTAGTTCGCAAACATCTTGTAAGTTATTGTATCACTGTCAGGATTTAGCTGGCTAAACATGGGATATTCAATATTCAGAGCTCATTAAATATAGTAAATGGCATTTCCTGTGTGGTGTGTATTACTGTGTATTACAATGTGATTGGGTCAAAGAATAAAATGGGTTTTTCCTCACTTGATTTGACACATTTCTCTAAACTAAGGTCAATACTCTCAAAACAAACTCTTCATGTAGCGAAACAGTACAATGTCATTTTATTATGAAGTACTGCATTTTTGTCAGCTAACACATTTATCACCAGCCATTATTCACATTAAAACTATTAGTATTTCCTACTGATTACATATTTAGTTACTATATACACACTGTTTTAATACTGAAAAACCATGTTTAGTTCCCCAAGGAAGATCTATTGATCCTAAGTGACTCTGTAGATTTCTGTATATGTACATTGTCAGACTTTGTTCCGTGTTTTGATTGTGTTTTGCTCCCCATGTGCCCTCCTTGCCCATATTTGGTTAGTTTCCTGTTCCTGTCCTGATTATGTTGATTTAATTTCAGGTGTTCCCCGTTTATTTCCATTGATCCCAGGTGTGTCTAGTCATCCCCTGGGCTTGTCATGTGTTTAAATAGTGTTCCCTGTGTTTAGTTCAGCATCCGGTATTGTCCATGTCTACATGAGTTTTCCGTGTTTCCTGTATGTGAATAAACTTCTCTGGATTGATGTACTCCTCGTCTCCCTCCGTTCCTTGCTCCGCACTCCACTCAGTAGTGCAACCGTGACATACATATTTCTGAAGCCTCTCATTTGTTTAAGCAGAGAAACTTCGTGTTTTCTCAAGCTAAAGAAAACTACAGAAAAAAAAACTAAAAAGCAGTGTGAATGTTGCATAGCATGCATGTGGCTCAATATCTCTGCAGGCTTCTTTTGATTGGAGTTACTTTGTCTGAGCAGCTGCAGTACACATTCTATCTTCAGGGAGAGAAGAACTCCACCACTTGATCCAGAAATGGAGAATATAGTGGAAGGAACACTGTGTAATAATGTAAAAGAAAAAAAATTTAATACTGAACTCGAGTCCAGTATTTGTCAAAGACAGATCAAGATTCATATGGACAATTAGAGTGACTCTTCTGTTTTTGTTGCTACTCTGTGTTCTTCCTCCCTATTATCAGTATACTATACACCTCTTCTTGTTCTGCTTGCTCTTTCTCTCCAGGGTCCTCATTGTTGGTTTGCTCTGGGTTAAACTGATTAAGTTTGAACTGATAAGTGACAGTAAAGACATTTATAATATAATATTACAAAAGATTTCAAATAAATGCTGTTCTAACTTGCTGTCACAAAACAGCAAAACCTTGTTACTAAACCTAACAACAAAAGCAACCATAAAACAGTGTAAATACAACTCAAAAACAGTGAAAAATTCAACCATATTAATTATTCATGCCACAGTGCATCATGGGAACACCTGTATCATAACAATTCCAAGTAAAATATAATTATGTTCAAACTTTGATTTCTATAAGCTTGAATTGAGTACTGATATAGAGTTTGTGACCTGTGCTGGCAAAATGAGTCACAATGAGCAAAGTTTCAAAACTGAGTTATTTTTATGTTCACATTCTCCTTGAAAAAGAACTTCAGAATGATGTATGATTTGTTGGAATCGGACGAAAAATGCTACACCTGTTTGAAGTCAATAGAGCCAGCAAAGTTAATTTTGAGAAAAATCTAGTTAGATTTTCTGAAGAAGGTTCCAAAGCAAAATCACCTGCAGCGTTGCATCTTTTCCTCCAGTTCTTTTCTTAATAATAATTATTAATCACAATATAGCTATTTTTAATTTTATCTTTGTTATTATAAATAAGAACAGATGCAAACAAAGTAGAACAAATATAACAAAGAAACAAATAATGCATTACCTTTTTCATTTTAAATCGAAACAAACACATTCAAGTAAGAAAAACAAATAATCAAATGTAAAAATCTATTTAGTGTGTTCATTACAAATAAATTGATTATTAAAACTACAAAAGCAGTTCAATCAAGAGCAGCAAGTGATTCCCTCTAGGGCTGCACGATTAATCGAATGCGATTGTCATGCGCATTTTGATAGTACATGATGGCTGATCGGGGCATAATAGTAGTGTCCGTATATGATAGAAATCCCTACACACGCAACATATTTCATTGTATTTAAGCAGTGATAAAGGCATTGCATTATAAATATACTTTATTTTAATGAAAATTATAATAGCCCTAATTCCCTCTTTTCTTTTTATTGTTTTTTTTACATTAAAGAGGCGGCCTACATATTAAGACCTACTGTACTGCACGGATCTAATAGAATGTTACACATCAGATGTTTTTCCCCAAATGTTCACTTAAGGCATAACAGATTATGTTTGCGTAAATACTTAAATACTGTAATTCTGTGTATATGTGTATATTTATCGGGATCGCGCGCAGTCGGAAGCGCCTTTATGTGCACGCTTTGGATGACAGTCAGCGTGAGAAGTGAACGGAGAAAAGGTACTCCTCTCAGAAAACGTACAAATAAAGGTAATTAAACATCTAAAATTATTATTTGGAGCATTGGGATCGCTAGACGAGGGCTTAACGATAATAATATCGTTAATAATAATTTTTGTGAAAATCTCAAAATCAACTAAAATCAACATTTTCCACTTTTTTTTGCCTGTAGCTATTTTATTGAATAAATGTAGCTTTGGTGACCATATTGGTTATAGTGTCTCTGAGTCACACACATGCACACAATAGCCGCTATACAACAGCAGCCAGCTATAGGCCAAAATTGAAAATACAAGTGAAAATAATAAAAAACAAAGATTGGCCTTGTTCTTTGACGAGAGTACAATTACATGGCATGCACCTGTCCATGAACAAAACTAGATACCCAGGCAGAACAAAACCACCAGCAGCAGCATTTCATTTCCCAGGAAACCCAACAGAAGCGGGAATATTTATAAATTGCCTTTTCCAAGAAAATCACTACGATGACATACTCACCCCACCCGATCAAAGTGAAGCCCCACAGGTACTTTGAATCAGACAAGAAGGCCATGAAGATGAGACTGTGCAGGTACAAGCCTTCTACCAGGATCCAGTAGTAGTTTGTAGCCAGGAAATAGATGAACAGCAAGACGGTCACTTTACAACCCATCTGAAAATGAAGAGCGGAGCACAAAAAGTCAACACTCATATCACAACATGGCAGTTTCGATTAAATAGAACTAAATGTCCCAAGTTATTCAGTAAATAAACTGGCTGGGAAGCAATACTTTAGCTGTGACAAACTTATTTCCTACTCTCGGTTGGAAGCCACCAAGACTGTGAAAAACAGTGCTCTGTTGAGATGCTTCAGTTCAGACTGACATAAGAGCAAATCAAACCAAGATGCTTGTGTTTGGTTTGCTGATTTGGGACAATCAGTACAATCACATGGGGTTCTTTAAATCAAACCAAAGAATCTCTAATGTGCTAATATTTGTTCAAACACACTGCATGACATAATCAGGCATAAAGGTGCAGATTCAGAGACACATTTGAAGTATAAATTTACTTAAATTAAAGGGATATCTAAACAAAAATGGAAAATTCTGTTTACTCACCCTCTAAATTATTCTAAACCTGTATGACCTTGTTCCGTCTTTGGAACTTAAAAAAATATGAACGGATATTTCACCTTTTGAAAGTCAAAGCAGAATTGGACCCCATTGACTTTGACTGTATAGAAAAAAACAATCTTCTTTTGTGCTCCAAAGAAGAAAGAAAAAGTTGAACTGTCACCTTTACGTCCACTCTGTTATATTCTACAAAAGTACTCATCGTCATGAATCCTCTTTTAGAATAATTAGCTCATTAACTTCTTTTAAAATGACACATTGTTAGTGTCAAATGACAGAAACTCTTCAGGACAGTAGAAGTGTGACTAAATGACAACCTTTCACTACTGTCAGCTGACTGACTGTATGCTATAGTTGGACAGCTGCACTTTAATGAAGCTATTAGCTCACTACCATGACAAATCTCTGTGGTTAATGGCCATAAAGCATTTCTAGACCAATGAACTGAATTAAAAGGGATTTCACATCCCAAATTTAAAACATTATCAAAGCTTACTGATGACTTCTCTCTTTAATATCAGGAATATTTATAAGGTTGTTTTATTCTGAAAATATCTTGGAATCAAAACACATATGGATGTATGAGAATAATGTAGTGACCAACAAAGGCTAAACAAATCAAAAGTGTTTTTTCAGACTTCTTAAAGACTATCCACCCTCTGCTTAGGCTCTGCCATACACACTTGCTGTTCTCTCAGGCATCCTCATGAAGTCATGAAGCCTGGGGTCTTTTCAAGTCAAATCAAGCTAAAAAACACAAGTTAATCAATTTAATAAATTCACTGCTAATAAACATTGCACTGGAGCAAACTGCATGTTATTATTTTGTTTTTGTAGAGCTGGCTTTCTTCTTGAATAAACCAAGTAGCTTCTGGATTCTTGCAGGTGAGGAGACTTTGACTTTCTCACGAGCAGACAGATAACAGTGAAGGGACTGAGAAGGGGAAAGTAGCTATAGCATAGGAAGCTACTTGGAAAATGTTCCTGAAAGGAAGGAATTGGAGTAAAACACTTGGACACCTCAGAAGCCGACAGTAGAAGATCAGTCAAGTTAAAGACTAGGCCCAGTTGTTGTTTTTTTTTTTGTTTTTGTTTTTTGTATCTCTTTGGACCTCAAACCTCTCTAACCTCTCCAACATGCCTGGATCTGCCAAACAAGCATGTGTCTGTGTCTGTGCCTGAAGGACTGTTTTGCCTCTAAAAACAATTTGTAGGGACAGACAATCAAATTTAAGTTGAGTTTATATTCACTACCGCTCGAAGGTCAGTAAGATTTTTAAAAATAATAATAAAAATATTTCTATTTAGCGAGGATGCATTAAATTGATCAAAAGTGACAGTATCCTACAGACATTTATAATGTTACAGAAGATTTCTGTTTCAAATAAATACTTTTCTTTCTATTCAAAGGATCCTGAAAAAAAATGTGGCCAACTGCTGCACACACAAAACAAAGAATGGCAGACCTGGTCCTCTCTCTCCCTCCACTGTTATCACTCCTCCTTACATCCTTCCGGAGCTCCTCTGTGGAACTGGAGACCAGTGTGGCACATAGGTGTCACTCATTAGCACTCGTGCAACAGGCCTCGCTCTATTTCCACGGCTCTCAGCCCCTCTCTGATTGCCACACAGTTGTTTTAAACTGTAATAATACTTCACAATATTATTGTTTTTACTATATTTATGATCAAATAAATGCAGCCTGGGTGACCATAAGAGATATCATTCAAAAACATTAAAAAAATCTTACACCAAACTTTTTAACTGTTTGGTAAAGGTGCTTCAAAAGAAGTCTTGGTTGTTTTAAGTCAACTGCTGTTGTTCATCCAATACCTTCTGAACATAACCAATAATAATGACTGTGAAGTTAAGAGTGTCAGGGTTATGTCACTTCGGGTTTGTTCTTAGTATGGTGACAGAACTCATGCATCATCTTCTCTTTGTGTGAGTGTGCTCTGGCTGTGCGCTCTCTTGTCTATGTGATATTATATGCACAGAGCATGGTGTTTGGAACCCAGAACTTCTGCCTAGTTCAGTTTCAGTTCAGTGCTGGGGTTTGGATATTCATGCTCCATGATTTGTCTTTCCTTGTGAGTGGATAGGTTGAGTGTTCAGTCCCTCACTGTGCTCTTGTCTTGGACATGTGGTCAGTGAGAGCTCTCATTTGGCACCTGTTCTTGTGTTATGTTTCATGAGGGCACATGGCTTTGTTTTGTTTGTTTGTTTGTGCCATGTGCTCCCCCGTCTATTGTCTTAACCCTGCCCCTCTTGTTATATGATTATTGGTTCGCTTACCCCACCTAATATAATATATTCACTGAAAGTGGAGCCAAAGATTAAAAATCAAAAAAGAAAAGTTTCTGAATCATCTGTCATTCTGTGCCAAAAAGCAAATGTACTGTATCTCTTTTGAGTGTATTCATCTAGTTTTAATAGTCTTTTTAATAGTCATCGAGGCACATCTAGTCAATGAAAGTAAACTGCTGCCTGGTTTTACTACTGACACAAAGGACAAATGGATTTGCAACAGTCTCTTTGACATGTCCAGTATAGACAGCCTCAAGCTGTTGCAACAACATTAACATCAGAATCAGAATCAGAATGAGCTTTATTGCCAGGTATGTTTACACATACGAGGAATTTGTTTTAGTGATAGAAGCTCCACAGTGCAACAAAATGACAGTGACAAGACACAGATAATAAAAAGAATAATATACAAATATACAAAATAGACAATGTACAAAATAGCAAAAACACAATATATAATATAGACAATTATGTATGCACAGGTATGATATGTGCAGGTATGATATGTCAAATTTGAAATGTAAATTAGTATGTGTGTTAAATAAATAATTGTTGTTGTACCAGTGATTCGCTCAGCAGTCCAGACTATCCGATGTAGTCTCCTGAAGTCAGATTTGGTAGCCGAGCTGAACCAGACAGATATTGAAGAGCAGAGGACAGATTCAATGACGGCGGAGTAGAACTGTTTCAGCAGCTCCTGTGGTAGGTTGAACTTCCTCAGCTGGTGAAGGAAGTACAGCCTCTGCTGGGCCTTTTTAACAATGGAGTCAATGTGATTGTCCCACTTCAGGTCCTGAGAGATTGTGGTGCCCAGGAATCTGAATGTCTCCACTGTTGTTACAGTGCTGTCCATGATGGTGAGTGGGGGGAGTGCAGGGGGGTTTCTCCTGAAGTCCACAATCATCTCCACAGTTTTGAGTGTGTTCAGCTCCAGGTTGTTAAGACTGCACCAGACAGACAGCTCTTTAACCTCCTGTCTGTAAGCAGACTTGTCACCATCCCGAATGAGGCCGATAAGTGTGGTGTGGTCTGCAGACTTCAGGAGCTTGACAGAGGGGTCTTTAGTGGTGCAGTCATTGGTGTAGAAAGAGAAGAGCAGTGGGGAGAGGACGCAACACTGTGGGGCGCCAGTGCTGATCGTACAGGTGCTGGATGAAAATTTTCCCAGCCTCACTAGCTGCTGCCTGTCTGTCAGGAACAGTGCTGTCCATGGTGGTGAGTGGGGGGAGTGCAGGGGGGTTTCTCCTGAAGTCCACAATCATCTCCACAGTTTTGAGTGTGTTCAGCTCCAGGTTGTTAAGACTGCACCAGACAGACAGCTCTTTAACCTCCTGTCTGTAAGCAGACTTGTCACCATCCCGAATGAGGCCGATAAGTGTGGTGTGGTCTGCAGACTTCAGGAGCTTGACAGAGGGGTCTTTAGTGGTGCAGTCATTGGTGTAGAAAGAGAAGAGCAGTGGGGAGAGGACGCAACACTGTGGGGCGCCAGTGCTGATCGTACAGGTGCTGGATGAAAATTTTCCCAGCCTCACTAGCTGCTGCCTGTCTGTCAGGAAGCTGGTGATCCACTGACAGATGGAGGTGGGCACGGAGAGCTTAGTTAATTTGGGCAGGAGGAAGTTTGGGATGATGGTGTTGAAAGCCAAGCTGAAATCCACAAACAGGATCCTCACATAAGTCCATAAGTCAACATACTATTTATTAAAACCAAGTCACATCAAAGTCTCATCAAGTAATGTTACATGTACATTGCTTCAAATATAGCAAATAGTAACATTTGTTACGAATGTTGCTTTTTAAGACTATTAGTTCCCAAATGTTCGGTAAACACAGAAGTGTCATGAAAAACGCAGACAAGAAGGTGCAGCTTTAAAGGGGTCATATGATGCGATTTCAAGTTTTCCTTTCTCTTTGGAGTGTTACAAGCAGTTCGTGAATAGATAAGATCCCTAAAGATGCAAAGACTAAAGTCTCAAACCCAAAGAGATATTCTTTATAAAAGTTAAGACTGGTCCATGCCCTCCTAAAACGCCTCGTTTAAACACGCCCCCACATATCTACGTCACAATGTGGGAAGATTTGCATAACGCCAAATGTTCACGCAAAGAAAGAAGGCGTAACTTTATTGTTGCTGCCACCGCCACCGACATGTTGTGAAGACTCTGTGTGTTTTGTTGCGAAAGCCTTTTGTTTGACCTTCCAAAAGAGGTAAAAAGACAGTATAAGTCATTATAATCCGTAATTATGTCCACACTTGATGCAACAAATGCCTCGTTTATAATGGGTTTTATTGGTTTTTTTCTCAACGCTCCGGGACACGACATCACAGTATGGTAAGGGGCGAAACATTTCCGTCACACGCTTGAGGTATTCGGCCAAT